ATTGCCAAGGTAACGATGATGTATCGCTTTTTTTGTTTGAGGATTTGAATGAAAATCCGCAAGCATATTGAGAACAGTTTTAGGAAACAATTGACCTGATGCAAGCTTTATTAGAGATTTAGTAAATAAAATAAACCTTCGTTTGAGTTATTTTGTTATGAGAACTAGCAAAAATTTATTTATTTACCAATGATTTGATATTTTCTTCAACTTTCTTATTTATTTCTTCCTCCATTTCGCAAGAACTGTATGAATAACTTTAAAATATTATAATGTGTAAATCATATTTAAATAATTGAATGATCATCAGCTAATCAAGATTGATATACTGATCAGCCAATCAATGGATTTTAACTATACTTCGTTTTAGATTAGAACAGATTCTACATTATGTATTTTTGTTAGTAATAATTTATTTAACTAATCCATTATTCTATCTTTTATTTAGATTGTAAAAATCAATGATTTTATTTTGTTATTTAGAACGTAAGAAATCTACGAATTTATTTTACATCTTCATTTTAATTTCTTTGATATTAATAATTGATTTAACTAATCTTTTATTTAGATCGTAAGAAATCTACGATTTTATTTTGCACCTTTCATTTTTAATTTTTTTTTTGATATTAATAATTTATTTAATTATTTCATTATTCTATCTTTTATTTAGGGAGCAAGAAATCTACGATTTTATATTGCAGCTTTCTCTTTGATATTAATAATTGATTTAACTAATCCATTATTCTATCTCGTAAGAAATCTACGATTTTATTTTGCATATTTCATTTTAATTTTATTGATATTAATAATTTATTTAACTAATCCGTTATTCTATCTTCTATTTAGTTGGTGAAATCAACGATTTATTTCGCAGCTTTCATTTTAATCTCTTTGATGTTAATAATTTATTTAACTAATCATTATTCTATCTTTTACTTAGAAAGTAAGAAATCTACGATTTTATTTTGCATCTTGCATTTTAATTTTCTTTGATATTAATAATTACTTTAACTAATCCATTGTTCTATCTTTTATTTAGAAAGTATGGAATTCATGATTTTATTTTGCATCTTTCATTTTTAATATTAATAATGCATTTATTAATCCATTATTCTATCTTTTATTTAGAACGTAAGAAACCAACGATTTTATTTTACATCTTTCATTTTAATTTTCTTTGATATTATTTAACTATTCCATTATGCTATCTCTTATTTAGAATGTATGGAATCTACGATTTTATTTTGCATCTTCCATTTTAATTTAATAATTTATTTAACTAATCCATTATTCTTCTATCTTTTATTTAGTTCATAAGAAATCAACGATTTTTATTTTGTATCTTACATTTTAATTATCTTTGAAATAAATAATTTATTTTAACTAATCCATTTTTCTATCTTTTATTTAGGGAGTAAGAAATCTACGATTTTATTTTGCATCTTTCATTTGATATGGTCGGGGAAATCTTAAATCACCAATCACGTGAATTTGTATCAATTTTGCGTATGCAATGTAATATAGCGTATTATATAATGCAGCCAATGATATAGCAGGCATTAAGCAATGATATGTAATATAGCATGTCATATAATGCAATCAATAATGTAGCAAATGCGTATAATTTTTAAATTAGGCGTAATTAATTTTTTCAGGGCTTAGACCTAACATTAAACCAATAAAAATTATTCACGTGCGGTGTATTATTGTAATTGACCAATAAAACAAGTTTCACGTGATAAAAATCACATGATATGTTTCAATTTTGACAAACCATATAATAAGTACCCGATTTAAAATGCTTATAACTTTTATTTAAAACTTAAATTAAAATTCTGACCAGTAGTTCAATAATACATATCTAAAACAATATTATTACCGGTTTGTTTTTTTAAAATTCGATTTATTAAGGCTCTAATAGTCTTTAAATATTATGTAATTATTGGTGAGTTAAGATTTCCCGCACTATATTAATAATTTATTTAATTATTCCATTATGCTATCTTTTTATTTAGAACGTAAGAAATTTACGATTTTATTTTGCATCTTCCATTTTAATTTTATTGATATTAATAATTTATTTTAACGAACTCATTATTCTATCTTCTATTTAGTTGGTAAAAAATCTACGATTTTATTTTACATCATTTTTTTGATATTAATAATTTATTTGACCAATCCATTATTCTATCTTTTATTAGTTGGCAAGAAATCAACGATTTTATTTTGCATCTTTCATTTTAATTTACTTTGATATTAATAATTTAATCCGTTATTCTATCTTTTATTAAGGGAGTAAGAAATCTACGATTTTATTTTGCATCTTTCATTTTAATTTTCTGTGATGTTAATAATTTATTTAATCAATTCATTGTTAACATTATTATTACTTTGCTAATATTATTTTTAATTAAACAATATATTATTAGCATATTACTAGCAACAAGATAAAATCTGATTTTATAATATTTGGATAATCTAAAAGTCTATGATAGTTTCTCGGAATAGCATTACAAGAAATAATAAAAATAATATTATTATTAATTTTTATATTATGTTTTTAATAGTTTTTTTTAAAATTAATTTTTTAAATATTATCAAAATAAATATATTTAATTATATATTTTTGAAACATGAAGAAATTATTTTTATTATTCCTCATTTTAAATCTTTTTAAATTATAAAAAGTTTTTTTTAATTAATCAAATATTGTTATCTCATCTTTTATTAAAATGATAGTATATCGGGTTATTAAAGTTTTTATTTGACTATAAAAATTATATTATTCATTTTATTAAATTGTTATTATTGAAAATTCATTGAATATTATATTTATCTTGATAAATATTCATTAATACATTATAAGTATTTTTGGACTTATACGTTAAATTCATACCTTACATGTATTATAAGTTCTTGATCTGGATACTGGCTATACTTTAATATGATTTAGAATAAGGAAAACATTTTCTGCAGTTGCATTTAATGCCATATGTCACAAACAACCTTTGGCTAC